ATTCTCCTAGAAATGTGATGAAGTCTTGTTCTGATGTACACGCTGGCAATTTTCTTTGATAAGCTATATATATGGTTATCAAGGGGGTCACAGTCCAGCAGGTGAGGCTCCAGCTGCGCGAACAATGCTTTTTCAAACACTGCAGTCATCACATGTACCAAAAGGCTATCTGAGCTAGTATTAAGGGATTTCAAATTCTTGCATTCATGCTGTAGTACTCGCAGTCCCTTTTCTGCAATACTGCAGATCTCTAAGACGTCCTTGGATGGTGCGACAAGTCCACCTCTGTTTTTTGCTCTGACAAGGTCTGGTTCTTCGCTTGATTCCAGCGCAGCACAGCACTCCTCGCAATTCGTGACAGACCGCACCTTGCGAGCGCACAATGGCCATGCAGCACTTCTGGCGCGAACGTCGCTTGCACGCAGATTGCAAAACACAACTCGCCAGTGAATCCCATCACTGTTGCAACGTGCCGCCAAGCCGCGTCAGTGACGGCGCGGGACTTATAATTTCGGTCGTGTAGATCCCATAGCGCACGTTCGCTTTCGATCACTACTAAAGAATGCCATTTCGTGGACCCGTCCAATTCATCATCAGCAGGCGCCCCGCTCTTCAGTGCACGTGTCCGCTCCTTTAGGACACGCCTAAAGGTGTCTCGAAGGTTTTTCCATCTCGCCTTCTCTTCAGCAACTGCGCATACACCAAGGAGGTTATACTTAGAACTTCTGGAGTGGCGGTCCCGCATACCCGCCCATGTATCGGAGTGAAGCCGCGGAAACCCGTCGGCGGCCATATTGCTCAGGGCAGAAGGAGGCGGCGACTGCCTTGTGCCGCCGTTGTGCCCCGTACGCTTGCAGCCGTGCCTTCTGTAATAGCAATGAAAGGGCCGCTTTATTTTTCTTAGGACGCGAGGGAACTTTGAAACGACTAATATACATCCTATTTATTTTTTTCTTGACACTTACACTGAGAGTTAAAGATGATGCGATAGGATATCAGTTTGTATTATATGTTTACACTGTTGTCTCACGGCAGAAGTACCGCTCGAGAAGATGCAACGAAAATAAAATTTAAGAGCGGGAGAAGTTGTAGAATGCTAGCTGGAGACGAAAACAAAAAATATGAAACCAATAACGCAATAAAGGAAACTGAAGGTTCACGGTACAACCATATTTATTCACTTGTCCACATTCAGCACCACGGTTACCGGCCGCGGCGGCCACTTTTCTAATGGAGGCGAAAAGCGAAAACGAGATTTCGGCGCAGGTTAATGATCCCCAGATGGTGAAATTAATCCGGAGCCCTCCACTACGGCAAGGCTCATTGCCTGCAATGCGTCGGCCCGTTAAACCCTACAGTTAGTCGCATTCAGCACCAGATGCATTTGACTAAACCAAACGTTAAATCTTCCAGCAAAAATTAAAATTCTGACTAAAAGAACAAATGCATCAAACACTAACAGTGAGATAAATTAAATAGAAAAACACATCAATCAAGTTCTCGCACTTAGAGATTTTGAAAATAATCTCTCTTGTTAGGAGTGTGCGCACGTTTTTGTTACAGTTCTGGTTCATTCTCTAGAAATGTGATGAAGTCTTGTTCTGATGTACACGCTGGCAATTTTCTTTGATAAGCTATATATATGGTTATCAAGGGGGTCACAGTCCAGCAGGTGAGGCTCCAGCCTGCGCGAACAATGCTTTTTCAAACACTGCAGTCATCACATGTACCAAAGGCTATCTGAGCTAGTATTAAGGGATTTCAAATTCTTGCATTCATGCTGTAGTACTCGCAGTCCCTTTTCTGCAATACTGCAGATCTCTAAGACGTCCTTGGATGGTGCGACAAGTCCACCTCTGTTTTTTGCTCTGACAAGGTCTGGTTCTTCGCTTGATTCCAGCGCAGCACAGCACTCCTCGCAATTCGTGACAGACCGCACCTTGCGAGCCACAAATCCCGCTATATACGGCACAACAGCACTCGTCACCGCTGAAAGGCTCTGGGGGAGATCCACACGATGAGTGTAGTCATGTTCATCATCCACAGGCTCCAGAAGCGACGACCTCCTGTGTGACGTAGCTGCTGTTGGTGACTCGGCAAGGCTGACAGCACTGGACATGTTCAGGATAGACACCACATCTCGGCAGCAGTTCCCAGCGTCAGACGATGTTACCTCTGTGTGGAAGAGGAGGCGCTTATAGGCGGCTCTGAACTGGCAGGCTGTGGGGTTGTTGTTGTATCCCCCCTTTCTCCTCACACAACCAAAAAACGTTTCCAAATGGTCTTGCGACATCTTGTGCGTCAACAGATACTTCAAAATTTTCGTGGCCACAAGGGCATCGAAAAGGGCAGTGACACTTCGAATGCAAATGATGAGGCCAACAAACCCAGTTTTTTCAGTCCATCTATCACTGGTCGCCCACTTGCATCCTTCAGCCCCCTAATATACTCCTCGGCTTCGTGGAAGAACGATTTCCAAGAAGCTGCATTCTGCTGCCGCAGTGGGGCTTTGAATGATCGCGCCAGAGGGTTCCTCGAGTTCAGAATATCGAAGAGGCGATCAAAGATTCGAATGAACTCCGCTGTTGCGTGGGCACCTTGAAACTGGGGAAGCTTCAGTTTATACTCGCAGAAGTCCAGTGCATCAGCAACAGATGAGCTAAGGGTCTGCACAGCCAGTCGAACCTTCATTTTTTGCTTTGCCCACTCCAGATGAACTTTCGTCAGCTTGTTTCCAAGGTGGAAGCCCTCTTTTTGTTGCAAGGCCTCAAGAGCTTCAATGTATGACCACTTCACTTTGCGCCCTTGAATATCAGTGAGGTGGTTTACTGATCCCAAGCAGTTACGCACAAGCTTGATCATGTGGCAGGCATCTAGAATCACAAATACTTTGCTTGGGCAATCTTCTAAGCACTGGAATGAGGTGTTAAATCCGGAGAACGACAGCGGAGATCAGCACCAAGAAAACTGGCCATTGAAAAGTTCGAGGCCGCTCCATCAAAAGTCAGTGATGCTGCTATGACACCTGCTGAAGCCACGCGCGAGATACACTCTTTCGTTAGCTGCGCTCTTTCAGAACCAGAGAGAGAATCAATGAAAAAATACCCAAGGGGCACCTTCAGCCTCATATTGAGTGCCACCAGCATGAAAACACAGGCATTCGTTGCTTCTGGGAGGCTGTCATCTGGCATTTCCATGCCCAAGTCGACATATCCGAAAACTTTGTTGCCCACAAGTTGGACATGTTTTTTAATAGACATGTCGTCAACCATTATGGCAGCGACCAGTGGCTCATCTCTTCCTTGCACTATGTTCTTGATAAACTCGAATGATTCTGAGGTGAAGCCAGGATCACCATTCACTGCCTTGTACCATTCGCGAAGAGTTCGCTGGTTTGGCAAAGCATTGTTAAACTTAGCTCGCACATAATCATAAGCCCTTGGCGAATAGTAGTGAAGCGTCAGTGCAAATGCTCTTAATTCTGGGGGGTATTTGTTCGTCTTTTCATGAGTTCTCTTGAGAAGCTGCTGGATATCCGGAGAAAATGACGCTTGGAAAACCTCCAACCCTTTTTCCGACAAAAGGTTCTGCTCCTTTAGCTGCTCAATCAAATCCTGAGAAGCATCAATGCGTTTTGAAAGTCTCCGTTTCTTCTGGTGCGACGTCTTGACCTTCTTTTTCAGCTGCTGTACCTCTTTCGCCGATTCATGCACTTTCTGCTTGTACCACTCCTTCGGGGGGGAAGTTTGCAGGGGGGAGACTTCGGCAGCTTCATCCAAAACAGGCTCCTGAGGCGAAGGCATCTCCCGACTTTTTGGAGGAGCTCGTTTTCTCTTCCCAAGCAGTTACGCACAAGCTTGATCATGTGGCAGGCATCTAGAATCACAAATACTTTGCTTGGGCAATCTTCTAAGCACTGGAATGAGGTGTTAAATCCCGGAGAACGACAGCGGAGATCAGCACCAAGAAAACTGGCCATTGAAAAGTTCGAGGCCGCTCCATCAAAAGTCAGTGATGCTGCTATGACACCTGCTGAAGCCACGCGCGAGATACACTCTTTCGTTAGCTGCGCTCTTTCAGAACCAGAGAGAGAATCAATGAAAAAATACCCAAGGGGCACCTTCAGCCTCATATTGAGTGCCACCAGCATGAAAACACAGGCATTCGTTGCTTCTGGGAGGCTGTCATCTGGCATTTCCATGCCCAAGTCGACATATCCGAAAACTTTGTTGCCCACAAGTTGGACATGTTTTTTAATAGACATGTCGTCAACCATTATGGCAGCGACCAGTGGCTCATCTCTTCCTTGCACTATGTTCTTGATAAACTCGAATGATTCTGAGGTGAAGCCAGGATCACCATTCACTGCCTTGTACCATTCGCGGAAGAGTTCGCTGGTTTGGCAAAGCATTGTTAAACTTAGCTCGCACATAATCATAAGCCCTTGGCGAATAGTAGTGAAGCGTCAGTGCAAATGCTCTTAATTCTGGGGGGTATTTGTCGTCTTTTCATGAGTTCTCTTGAGAAGCTGCTGGATATCCGGAGAAAATGACGCTTGGAAAACCTCCAACCCTTTTTCCGACAAAAGGTTCTGCTCCTTTAGCTGCTCAATCAAATCCTGAGAAGCATCAATGCGTTTTGAAAGTCTCCGTTTCTTCTGGTGCAACGTCTTGACCTTCTTTTTCAGCTGCTGTACCTCTTTCGCCGATTCATGCACTTTCTGCTTGTACCACTCCTTCGGGGGGAAGTTTGCAGGGGGGAGACTTCGGCAGCTTCATCCAAAACAGGCTCCTGAGGCGAAGGCATCTCCCGACTTTTTGGAGGAGCTCGTTTTCTATTCTCCTACGCAAAAAGAGGTATAACGCGACAGCGTCAGAAATTTAGGCATTTAGAGCGAATGCGCAACTAAATATTAGAAACTGAAAATCCCAGAGATGCGGAGCTAACGCTACAATAACTACATTTGGTAAACGAAGAGCTCACGAAGCGTACTCACTGGCTTTTGTAGGTGCGCTGGAAACGCTGCAAACTTGGTAGGGATGCTACCAGCTCGTAGTCTCGTTGTTTGCCCTGTTCTATCGAAGCAGTCTGCTTCAAAGTGCGTTGAACACAAGACGTCATTCTTCTTCGGAGTCCAACCTTCTCGCCTCACAGCGCGCTCCCATGCACTGCGCAATTCGCAGTCTTTGGGAAACCTGCAAAGCACAAAAATGTTTCACAGTGTCTCCATGGCACCCGGACGTAAATGGGAAATGCTTGTACGCGCGAATGCATTCGTAATCGCAAAATATGCGAGGGAAAGCGAGCGAGCAAAGCACGCTACTTACACGTGAAAAGTTATCCCCGGTGTTTGCTTCACGCGATTTGCGCAGCCAAATGCTGCGCAAGAGCCCACCATCGTCTTCAGAAGAGGTCACAGTCGTCTGCCACAGCGGCCTCATTCGATTAGAGGCACCGCACTCAAGAAAAACACGGAGAGGCCGCACGCACATGCACGCATTACAATGCGTTCGAACCGCTTTCTGCCCTGAGCAATATGGCGGCGCGTGGCGTCAGCCGCGGAGCCCCTCCGCCACTCCAGAAAGTTTAGTATAACCTCCTTGGCATACACCAAGGAAAGTTGTACACCATGCCAGCGCACAATGGCCATGCAGCACTTCTGGCGCGAACGTCGCTTGCACGCAGATTGCAAAACACAACTCGCCAGTGGATCCCATCACTGTTGCAACGTGCCGCCAAGCCGCGTCAGTGACGGCGCGGGACTTATAATTTTGGTCGTGTAGATCCCATATTGCACGTTCGCCTTCGATCACTACTAAAGAATGCCATTTTGTGGACTCGTCCAATTCATCATCAGCAGGCGCCCCGCTCTTCAGTGCACGTGTCCGCTCCTTTAGGACACGCCTAAAGGTGTCTCGAAGGTTTTTCCATCTCGCCTTCTCTTCAGAAGCTGCTGGATATCCGGAGAAAATGACGCTTGGAAAACCTCCAACCCTTTTTCCGACAAAAGGTTCTGCTCCTTTAGCTGCTCAATCAAATCCTGAGAAGCATCAATGCGTTTTGAAAGTCTCCGTTTCTTCTGGTGCGACGTCTTGACCTTCTTTTTCAGCTGCTGTACCTCTTTCGCCGATTCATGCACTTTCTGCTTGTACCACTCCTTCGGGGGGGAAGTTTGCAGGGGGGAGACTTCGGCAGCTTCATCCAAAACAGGCTCCTGAGGCGAAGGCATCTCCCGACTTTTTGGAGGAGCTCGTTTTCTCTTCTCCTACGCAAAAAGAGGTATAACGCGACAGCGTCAGAAATTTAGGCATTTAGAGCGAATGCGCAACTAAATATTAGAAACTGAAAATCCCAGAGATGCGGAGCTAACGCTACAATAACTACATTTGGTAAACGAAGAGCTCACGAAGCGTACTCACTGGCTTTTGTAGGTGCGCTGGAAACGCTGCAAACTTGGTAGGGATGCTACCAGCTCGTAGTCTCGTTGTTTGCCCTGTTCTATCGAAGCAGTCTGCTTCAAAGTGCGTTGAACACAAGACGTCATTCTTCTTCGGAGTCCAACCTTCTCGCCTCACAGCGCGCTCCCATGCACTGCGCAATTCGCAGTCTTTGGGAAACCTGCAAAGCACAAAAATGTTTCACAGTGTCTCCATGGCACCCGGACGTAAATGGGAAATGCTTGTACGCGCGAATGCATTCGTAATCGCAAAAATATGCGAGGGAAAGCGAGCGAGCAAAGCACGCTACTTACACGTGAAAAGTTATCCCCGGTGTTTGCTTCACGCGATTTGCGCAGCCAAATGCTGCGCAAGAGCCCACCATCGTCTTCAGAAGTCCATTTAGGACTCGCGAACAGCAGGCGTTCGCATGTCGCCCTTTAGCCCAATCCTCACCGCCTTCTTCAGCAAATGCGCATACACCGAGGAAAGTTGTACACCATGCCAGCGCCACAATGGCCATGCAGCACTTCTGGCGCGGAACGTCGCTTGCACGCAGATTGCAAAACACAACTCGCCAGTGGAATCCCATCACTGTTGCAACGTGCCGCCAAGCCGCGTCAGTGACGGCGCGGGACTTATAATTTCGGTCGTGTAGATCCCATAGCGCACGTTCGCCTTCGATCACTACTAAGAATGCCATTTCGTGGACCCGTCCAATTCATCATCAGCAGGCGCCCCGCTCTTCAGTGCACGTGTCCGCTCCTTTAGGACACGCCTAAAGGTGTCTCGAAGGTTTTTCCATCTCGCCTTCTCTTCAGCAACTGCGCATACACCGAGGAAAGTTGTACACCATGCCAGCGCACAATGGCCATGCAGCACTTCTGGCGCGAACGTCGCTTGCACGCAGATTGCAAAACACAACTCGCCAGTGGATCCCATCACTGTTGCAACGTGCCGCCAAGCCGCGTCAGTGACGGCGCGGGACTTATAATTTCGGTCGTGTAGATCCCATAGCGCACGTTCGCCTTCGATCACTACTAAAGAATGCCATTTTGTGGACTCGTCCAATTCATCATCAGCAGGCGCCCCGCTCTTCAGTGCACGTGTCCGCTCCTTTAGGACACGCCTAAAGGTGTCTCGAAGGTTTTTCCATCTCGCCTTCTCTTCAGCAACTGCGCATACACCGAGGAAAGTCTGTACACCATGCCAGCGCACAATGGCCATGCAGCACTTCTGGCGCGAACGTCGCTTGCACGCAGATTGCAAAACACAACTCGCCAGTGGATCCCATCACTGTTGCAAACGTGCCGCCAAGCCGCGTCAGTGACGGCGCGGGGACTTATAATTTCGGTCGTGTAGATCCATAGCGCACGTTCGCCTTCGATCACTACTAAAGAATGCCATTTTCGTGACTCCGTCCAATTCATCCTCAGCAGGCCGACCCGCTCTCATGTGCAACGTGTCACGACTCCTCTTTAGGACACGCCTAAGGTGTCTCGAAGGTTTTTCCATACTGCATTCTCTTCAGCAACTGCGCAATACACCGAGGAAACGTCGTAACCCATGCCAGGCAGCACAATTCTGCTTGTACCACTCCTTCGGGGGGGAAGTTTGCAGGGGGGAGACTTCGGCAGCTTCATCCAAAACAGGCTCCTGAGGCGAAGGCATCTCCCGACTTTTTGGAGGAGCTCGTTTTCTCTTCTCCTACGCAAAAAGAGGTATAACGCGACAGCGTCAGAAATTTAGGCATTTAGAGCGAATGCGCAACTAAATATTAGAAACTGAAAATCCCAGAGATGCGGAGCTAACGCTACAATAACTACATTTGGTAAACGAAGAGCTCACGAAGCGTACTCACTGGCTTTTGTAGGTGCGCTGGAAACGCTGCAAACTTGGTAGGGATGCTACCAGCTCGTAGTCTCGTTGTTTGCCCTGTTCTATCGAAGCAGTCTGCTTCAAAGTGCGTTGAACACAAGACGTCATTCTTCTTCGGAGTCCAACCTTCTCGCCTCACAGCGCGCTCCCATGCACTGCGCAATTCGCAGTCTTTGGGAAACCTGCAAAGCACAAAAATGTTTCACAGTGTCTCCATGGCACCCGGACGTAAATGGGAAATGCTTGTACGCGCGAATGCATTCGTAATCGCAAAAATATGCGAGGGAAAGCGAGCGAGCAAAGCACGCTACTTACACGTGAAAAGTTATCCCCGGTGTTTGCTTCACGCGATTTGCGCAGCCAAATGCTGCGCAAGAGCCCACCATCGTCTTCAGAAGAGGTCACAGTCGTCTGCCACAGCGGCCTCATTCGATTAGAGGCACCGCACTCAAGAAAAACAACGGAGAGGCCGCACGCACATGCACGCATTACAATGCGTTCGACCGCTTTCTGCCCTGAGCAATATGGCGGCGCGTGGCGTCAGCCGCGGAGCCCCTCCGCCACTCCAGAAAGTTTAGTATAACCTCCTTGGCATACACCAAGGAAAGTTGTACACCATGCCAGCGCACAATGGCCATGCAGCACTTCTGGCGCGAACGTCGCTTGCACGCAGATTGCAAAACACAACTCGCCAGTGGATCCCATCACTGTTGCAACGTGCCGCCAAGCCGCGTCAGTGACGGCGCGGGACTTATAATTTCGGTCGTGTAGATCCCATAGCGCACGTTCGCCTTCGATCACTACTAAAGAATGCCATTTTGTGGACTCGTCCAATTCATCATCAGCAGGCGCCCCGCTCTTCAGTGCACGTGTCCGCTCCTTTAGGACACGCCTAAAGGTGTCTCGAAGGTTTTTCCATCTCGCCTTCTCTTCAGCAACTGCGCATACACCGAGGAAAGTCGTACACCATGCCAGCGCACAATGGCCATGCAGCACTTCTGGCGCGAACGTCGCTTGCACGCAGATTGCAAAACACAACTCGCCAGTGGATCCCATCACTGTTGCAACGTGCCGCCAAGCCGCGTCAGTGACGGCGCGGGACTTATAATTTCGGTCGTGTAGATCCCATAGCGCACGTTCGCCTTCGATCACTACTAAAGAATGCCATTTTGTGGACTCGTCCAATTCATCATCAGCAGGCGCCCCGCTCTTCAGTGCACGTGTCCACTCCTTTAGGACACGCCTAAAGGTGTCTCGAAGGTTTTTCCATCTCGCCTTCTCTTCAGCAACTGCGCATACACCGAGGAAAGTTGTACACCATGCCAGCGCACAATGGCCATGCAGCACTTCTGGCGCGAACGTCGCTTGCACGCAGATTGCAAAACACAACTCGCCAGTGGATCCCATCACTGTTGCAACGTGCCGCCAAGCCGCGTCAGTGACGGCGCGGGACTTATAATTTTGGTCGTGTAGATCCCATAGCGCACGTTCGCCTTCGATCACGTCAATGAGGCGCTCATTGTACGCGTTGCGCTCATCGCCGTTGGCCATGTTGTTGTGGTAGTTGTGAGAGCATGCTGAAAAGTACGTGGAAACAGCCGGCAGTACGTCACTGATGTACATCCTTTTCCGGTTTTTTACTATTGGCTGCTTGAGCCAGCACTTCCGGGCGAAGGGCGACGGTTTCCAAATCTGCAGAACCGAGCGATCGCGTGAAAACGAGCACGCGACACGTCGCGCGAACGCCCTGTTTCGTCGCTCATAGCATCGCTCGTCGCTGCCGCGTGCATTTTCGCGCTTATGAAGTTTGATCTATAGAACGCAAAGCGATGGGTAGATGCCATCTACCCATCGCAAAGCGTTGGAAACACTTGCCTTTTTGTGCAAAGCGTTGCATTGTCAGCGCAGCGTGATGAACGCTGTATGCATTTCTGTATGCATTCAGTATAAAAAGACGCACCGTAGAATATTGGCGTGCTGTTATTGTGCCTCATATATGCGTAATAATTGCTTTTAAATTGACAATTGCGCAAGTATGAGTGCTGAAACTTGAGCAACATTGGTGGGCACAAGGGATGGCGTTGGATTTTGCCGTTTCGGGAATCGTTTTTGGAGGACAAACATAATAATAAACAGACAGATAGGAATACAAACATTTTTGCGTCGAAGTACCCTAAGAGAGACTATCATGTTTAATAGAGGGTTTTTTTGAAGATAAGCTCCTCGGTTCATGGCTGTACGCGTCACAGGCCAGCAAAGCGTCGCGGGCAATAGACAGGAGCACATGTGCCGACACGGTTCTCATATACCTCCTATTTTTTTTCTCCTCTTTTATTACCCGTTTCCCAGGGCGGGCTAGCAAACCGGACGTGCGTCTAATTGATCTTCCTTCCTTTCATTCCTTTCGTTTCCTCCTCCTACTCCTTCTGGTATTTGTGAATTACTTTGACCCCCACGCTAGAATACGGTCAATCCTTCGTTTGTTATTGTTTATACAAAATTGAAGGGCTAAAAAAGATTGAGGTGGTCAATCTTTATGTCGAAAATGCAACATATTTTCTTTTGTCTTTTCACAAAAGTGCCGAAAGCTTGAAACACTTCATTTTAAACGTTTTATACTTCAGGAATAGCCAGGAAATAGCTCAGAGAAAAGGTCGCTGTGGAAAAGTGTCCAAAATTTTTAAGAGTTTGTGGTGCACCTTGTCACTGCGATTTTCTGCATCTGACAGCCACTCGGCTTTTTTGCCCAGACTGTACTTTTGGTTGTAAATTAGGTTATTACAGTGTTTCGATTCTTTATTACCACTTTGAGATATTTGAGAAACTCCACTACAACAATTGCTTCTCATTTTGTTTTGATTTGATGCAGCTATCAGTAAACTTAATTAGGGGAAGTTTACTTCCCTTAATAAGGGAAATTTTCGTTCAGTTATAATTTTCCCGAGGTATTCAGATTGCGTACGGTCACCCACATTTATTTAGGCAAGTTAGAAAATTCTTCCGCGTTTGCACTTTGCTTATTCTTGACGATTATTTGGACATAAGTGCCAATGCTTCACCCAGTCATGATGCTGTGATTGATTTTTCAAGGCATAGGTGTCGATTGAATACAAAGGAAAGAGAATTGATTGTGACGCTTGAAAAAAAATTACAATAAAGACATTCTTCATTCCTTGGTCCTTCCCAAATAAGCTATTTCTGTAAGTGATGCCGGAATAATTCCTCATTTTTTGTAATGACACCACTGCCACGACTTCTAGATGTAACCTGTTAGGACGAAGTCGCTTTGTAATTGTCACGAAAACGATGTATCGAGAGCAGGCTTTAAACAAGGACTTTTTTACTCGCACTATGTTCTTGGAACTCTGATTGATCCTTGTCCAGGGTACCCAAGAGTTAGTGGCAGACTCACATGTAGCTAGTAGTACTACCCTGACCAGTTTAGTTCCTAGTTAGTCTTGTGGTTTGTGTGTCCTAGCTACAATAGTTCTTGAACTCACAGTGACTACAAAGGTTTGTTCAATATGGCGTAGGATCGATCATTAACAGACTGATAAACACGTTGTTATAAAAACAAGTTCGAAGTTTTATCATCGGCTCTGTGAAGTAGCTCACTTCGTTCCATCATAGATTAAATAAACTATGATGCCTTGGTTGACATAATTTTTGACGTAAATGAAGCGCCCGTACGTTTCAAAGACGTTATTAGGTGTTGTTCTTTTCCCTGCAATGTCGTTCATGATTTCTGTGAAAGTCTTGCACGACAGTTACGTTGCGTATTAGCATTGACGGTTGAAGCCGGATAGCTATACCGTTGTGGCATTGAAGAAAAAAAAAAAAAACTGGCTCTTCACAATGGGGCCACGTCAGTAACTTCGGAACCGACATCTGACGTTATAGTTAAACAACCGCTGTTGATAACGTTACAGAGCTGCTGCTGAACTGAAGGTCACTGCATTTAGTCTTGGCGGGTGTGGTAGCATTTAAGCGGACGTAAAAACTGAACCTGTGTGATAGGTTAGTTACTTTGTGCGTTTATAATAAGCGAATGCAAGTTTCCCTTTCTGCTGAGTTGCAATAGAACTTTGTGTGCAGCTTGTACGCCGAGAGTTGCTTATGTATTGCATTAGTTATCAGTGCTCGTTAGAAATTTTAGTGAATCAATAAGCAGCATGAACTCTGCAAGGCAATGAGTCGGCAGTTGCACAGTTTATGATCGAATGCATTGTGCCATTGGTGTTTCAGGGATGAATTACTACGTAAACTGACACTAGACAATGCTTATTAATACTTATTGCTGGTTCAATGTATCATCCGATATTCGTTTCATCAGTTTCCAAAAAAAGGGCATGATTTTTTTGCTAAGTGACATAAAGGCACTCATGATGGTCATACCATGTGGCCATGAGCTGAAATCAGCAGGTTTTCTCTTGCTTGCAAAGGATGAAGAAAATCCTTGTCGGGATGAATAAACGTAATTTATTAGTATCGCAGTGAACACTGTACCTTATATTGTGAGTATACGCCATGTTATATTTCACTATGACTAACCATGGGGTGTTTTCGTAGGCGGCGCTTCGGTGCAGATTCCTCTTTGGCATGTCTGCAAGAAAAATAAGTAATGCACGGATTGTCCCACAACGCACATAAAACGTCACATAGAGACGAAGAAGTTTGTGTCATGCTTGTCGTGGGGGCGAGGTTAAGATCTGTGGTTTGTGGACTTTGACTCAGGCCCGAAGGAAAAAGGCGGAGAGAAAGACTCGTGCGTTTGAAATTTTCGGGCCTCTGGCCAATGAGCCGAGAAGGATCCCCCCTCTACAGGTACGACACTGCTTTAAACTGGATGAGACAAACATAGCGGGTTTTCTGCGAGTGGCACCTCGTTGCTGCGTACCTTTCTTTGACACAAGCGGCTAGTTTGCGATCGGTGGATTGAGCCATCTGCCCTCTCCACTGCGCCCCACGTTGGGACGGAGTGGGTGGCACTGCAAGTGATGGCTTAAGAACTTTGGAAGCTATAACATTAAGCTGGTGAAGAGAGGGTCGTAAAAGACCTTCACGTGATTTATAATTCCATTTTCGGGGAGTCTTTCACTGTTGTGCATGAGTTTTTTTAATGGTTCTGCCGGACTTGAGGTGTCTGAATGTGTTTATTGAAAGGGACATTTCAAGGGCGTTGTACTCCTTTCCGGACAAATCCGCCGCTGGACTTGACGGTCTTAAACCGTCCGACCTTAAGAAAATACCCGCAGGATTACTGCTTCACGTTTTTAACAATTGATTCGCCTTTGAGTCTTTTCCAGTCGAGATGAAGCTAGCGAGAACTGTTTTTATCCACAAATGAGCAAATTCCTCAAAACCAGGCGATTTTCGTCCTATAGCTGTCTCTCCTGGTTTGTATCGCGTTTACGAGATGATTTTAAACTATTTCACCGAACACAACGTCTTTCACAAATATCGGGCAGGTTTCCAATATGACAAATCAACATCATCTAACATACTTGTTTTGCAGGCACTAAGGAGAACCTCAAAGAAGAACCATAGACGATTCTATGCACCAAGTCTTAATTAACGTTAAGAAGACGCTTCATTCTGTCTAGCATGAGCCTTCTCTATGACTCCAACTGAACGGGAAAGTTCCAGAGTGAATTCGATACATTTTAAGACATGCACCGGCACTGCACTACAACGTTTTTGTGCAAGAGGCACACCGATTACCAAAGAGTGCCTGTAAGGCACGTGAATATACAGAGAAACCCGCTCTTGCCATACATGTTCAACTGCACGTGTGTTAGACCCATTGCTTCAGAGATTGAATGGCTCGAGGTGGGGGGTGAAACTTGGGGATGTCTCGTATGTCTGCAATAGCATTTGCCGATGACATAGTCCCTGTCTCTGACACGTACGAAGGTCTTCACGCTCTCACCGTTCAAACTGAAAGGTACCTTTTAAATATTGCTTTAGTAATTAACCCTTCCAAATCGCAGTACTTCGGGTGGCGTCCAAAGCACGTCTCGAAGGGATTTGACCATTCTATTGAGCAGGTACACATGGCTGGCATTGAAGTTAGACCCGCTGGGAGGGACGACCTTGTTAAATATCTGGGACTGAATTTCTGTGTGAAGAAGGCACACACTGTGCAATTGAAAAATGCCTATTCACAATCCTAACACATTCACATTTCTAACACCAGTCACATCCACCGAAAGGACGCGGCCATCCAAATCCCTGGCGTAGCGTAGCACAGAACCGGTGAATCATGGCATTAAAATGAAAGCAACTCCCCGGCAGCGTGCGCCCCCATAATTCCAGTAGGATTTGGTGCCAAACGTTCTGCCGAAGTTTTTAATCTGCCCCAATCTAGACACAAAAGTCTCTTGCAAAACGACAATGTCTATCTTGTGATACCTCGACAATTAAAGGTAGCAATAGTAAGATAAGCCATGATGAAATGTAGGGGAAAGCCCAAGCATCTGTCTTATGGAAAGCACAGACACCAGAATAGACAAGAAGCGAAAATGAAAACACAGAAAAAGAAACGGCTAATACTCGAAGGTATGAGCCGCCGGAAAGCTACCTAAAATAAACCTACGAACGAGAGTCCCCCTCGGAGAGCGAGTCCTGGTTTGTGGACGAGTACCTTGTGTCAGACGTGAGTGAACACTCGCAGTTGCCTGGTCCACAGCTAGGGCAAGGAGAACTCTTGCTCGACTCACCCGTGGTACTGCCCATGACAGTCGACGAGGTAGATTCCTCGTCAGACTCCGTCGCTGCTGTTCGATTCGGTACCGGAAGGTCGTCCTCGGGGCTGCCAGGGCCGCCGCGCGAAGCCGCTGCCAGCCTCTTCTTGGAGGGCCCTGGTGATCGGCGGGCGCGCCCTTGCCTCAAACGGCGTCGGTCCAGCTCATGGTGTCATCCTGGTCCTCGGTAGCAGGCGCGTCAACAGGGCTGGTCCCGGGCGCACCGGCAGGCGAGGCTGGCGACGGCTCGGTGGCAGCAAGGATGATGGGGGCCTTCGCTGATTCCAACCCCGCCTCCCGCTCTTCCCCTCTTGGAGCCCGTTCACTAATGGGCTCCGGCTGTGGTTGGGTCGAGCCTTCGGCGTCCCTCCGAGCAGCCTCCCGGTCTTCCGCAACACCGCTCACCTGCTCTTGGGAGGAAGAGGCTACAAGCGGGGCGGCCGACGAATTCATCCGCGCCTTGCACTCTGAGGGGCCATGATCGCCGCCGCCGTGCTTGCGTTTCAGCGCGCACTGGTCGTGACCAAACGCCCCACAGCGCACACACTGCGGAACAGTACACTTGATCGCGCAGTGTCCGGTCCTGTAGCATCGCCGACAAACTCGCGCGACACCCTCGTACTCAAACTGGATGATGACGTCCCCCACCTGGTGGAGGTTAGGGACACTCTTGTGCATCTCCAGTCGGACCGCGAGGACGCCGTCCAAGATTCCCGGAAAACCATTCCATTCCTCGCACGACCCTTCCAAAACATTCCCAAGCTTGCTCAACAATTGTCTTATGATGCGCTCATCGGCGTCGGCCGGGAAGCCAAGAACGCGCACTACCTTGACTCGAACACCTCGGTATTGAAACCTGATCCTCGCATCGTGAAAGACGAGGACTGAATCGTCGGAAAACCGCCGACTCACCTCATCGGTCGCGAATGTCACCTCAAATTTCCCAAGTCCATAGTCCTGCACACATTTAAGCTCCGAGCTTGAACCGCTTCACAAGGTCCTTGCAAATGTCGGCACTGCCGACGCCTTTAGGCACGCGTTCATAGTGTACCCGTGGCCTATTCTGCGAGAGTAAGGAGGCTGCCTTCGCGGTAAATATACCACGAGGCTGCCAAGTCAGCTAGAAGCTAACCTACCGCGACAAAGTCTAGGTAAAAACTAGTCTAACCGGACGGATGAAAAAGGAGAAAAGGGGACAAAAAAACCTTACCAATAATTTGCGAAAAACCGATGAAAAACTAGCGCAAGAGGCCGCCGGGTCACTGCATGCAAACAGCGAGTCTCGTCCCTCCTCGAATCAGTCAAAACCTCCTTCAAACGACAACGACAAGGTGGCGCTAGTCCCACCGGGAGCGGGCCATGGTGTGTATGTGTGAAGAGGAACCTGTTTGCACACAAGCGGCAGTTTACTGCAACTTCACGGTTGGCGTATGCCTCCAAACAACTCGAGGATGGTGACCATATAAAAGAAATAAGACTCCACACCAATTTGTACCCCACGAGAACATTGTCCAATAAGCAAGCCATCGATCCAGGTGCGTGCCAACCAGGTGCGATCCAGGTGCGATGTGAAGAACCATGAGGAATGTAGTCCGCATAGTGAAAGAGTGGCGGCCAGGGGCAATAGTGGAATTGGAAAGGTTGCATGTCACGAGCTACCACGTGCGGCTCAAGCCTGACCTAGCGGTGACGCAGGGTGTTGGGACTCCGGGTCCTGCCGGTCTCGTTTTCGGTAGCTGGCCCTGTAGCAGGATCCATCGTCCGACAATTCAGTGAGAAGAAGCGCCCGAACGAACGACAGAGATTTATTTACATGTTGAGAAGTGATCAACTGATCCGAAAAGAGAAGAGAGAGATACAAAACGTCTTCGGCATTTTATAGCGCCGCGTTGTCGACACTGGGCGCATTGTCCACATCGTCAGCCAATACGGTGGCCCCGGCACCTTGGCCACGAGGGAGGGGGAAACCCACCTCACAACACATGGAGGGGAACAACCTAACACGATGCCCAAATATGGTCACGGCGCCCTAAAAAATGCCCAAACATGGTCACGAACGCAAAGCAGATTCCGGAATTCTCCCGGCGAGAGGGAGGAGCCTGATTGGGGAGGTGGGGGTCGACGACACAGTTGGTCAAGAACCGGTTCTGCCCGCAACTCCTCTTGTTTGGTTCCCTAGCGGAAAACCAGTGCGTTGACCTTTGTTTTCGCTTGGCTGCAAGGCCGTCTCAGGTGCAGGCTATCCTGGGAATGCGTCGACGATCTCCCAGAGGGGTTCGCACACTTTCGGAGAATCCCAATGCTGGGGCCGGTCGTAACAAGGGTAATCAGGTCACTATTGTTGACTTTGCCGTAACCTGGGACGTCAACGAAGTCATCTTGATACAGATGTTCACATCTAAAAGGGTTAAGTACGCCAGCTTGAAGCACCTGTACCCTGGGAAGAACGTCTACATCTTTGGTATGGCGTTTGAAGCCAGGTTTATACTCTGCCAAGAGACAATCGCAGGTGGTGAATACCATGGCTTGACTAAACGAGACGTCGAGTAGCTCTGTTTACTCTGCTGGGGAGCACTGTGATTTTAGTCAGGTTTGGGTGGTTACTCAACTATTCCCCCCACCCCTTTACACACACTCTTTTATGCATCCGCGATTTTGAACATTTCACGCGTTCCTTTTCACTACAAGGCTAGCAGTGTCAATTTAGTGTTATTTCACCTTTACCAATTTTTCCCAAATGGCTATTACCCCGGTACATCAAAACCTTGCTACAACCACATGAGTCACTTAAGCTCTTTAAGTACTTGGCTCTCGTAAAAGGGTTCTTTTCCTTAGCATAGGAGGGCCTCGGCCCTACCCCGCAATGGAAGCCAAGACCCAAGAAATGGAGGGGCACAATGCGGACACATTTTTTTTTACTTTACAAGCTAGAGAAAGCTGTTTTTAGGTAAGGTGTGAAAAGAAATTGGCACAGTGACGTTGTGTTTTTTGTCAATTCCTAAATTTCTAGGCACCCTTCTGAAGAAGTTGGTCTAAGGAGGTCACTGTATAGCAGGGAATTGCATAAACCATAAGGTACATTAAAGGTGGTGTTTACTGTAGCTTAAGAATTACGATATAAATTTAAATAAATTAAATTGAACGAAAGAACAACTGGACGAAAGGACAGCCTGCGAGCTTCAAACAACGAGTCCAATACTCCACCAATGGATCTTCAGCAGGGGTCGTACTTGCACTCGTTTTATTGGGTATTTCTGCGCACGTTATCCAGAAAGTGTTCGCCGGTGCCACTTGTAGCTGTGGCGGCGAGTACGAAACGCTATTTTGTGCCAGCTGTCAAGTCTGCTTCTTCAATTGCACGTTCGAGAGCAACGCGACAGCGCAGTGAAAGCGCTGCTTTACCGGGACGGGGGACATCATGACACACAGGACGGGGGACACACGGGATGGGGGACATCATGAGACGTATTCCACAGTAGGCAGTTCAAAGGGTGGCTTGAGAAGCCGCTCTACATCTCTGTGCACGTACTTGTCTTTTCCGAAAATGCCCGAGAGAGAGAGAGAGAGAGAGAGGAAAGGCAGGGAGGTTAACAAAGCTTGGCTCGGTCGGCTACCCTACACTTGGGGTGGGGTAAAGGGGAAATAATATAAGTGACAGGTAGAAAAGGAGTAAGAGATGGATGAAAAGTCAACACGAGACTACACAGCACGGTCTCACGCTATTCTTTCACAAGTACTCGTGAAGTTCGGTGGTCCTTAAGAAGCACTAGAGGGAATTTCGTGGCTTTGCGCGTATGCGAAACCATCGGCCAAGGTCCCAGGATCTTCTTTTCTGTAAGTGGTCGTGAATTTAGCTGACAGAGCTTGGCTTCCATAATACGTCGTTCAGAATGGTATGTTGGGCACTGGCATACAATGTGCTCAAGCGTCTCCTCGCAGGCGCAGATGTTGCATGCCAAACTGCTCGTCATTCCAAGTAGACAAGAATGCGCGTTCGTAAATGCTTGAAAAGATTATTTGAGTATAATGAGTAGTTAGTCGGGCTATTTTTGTATTTTTTTTCAACAAACAGTAGGCTAATAAAGTAGCAAGCGCTCTGTTCAATTCTGTTCCTATATGTAAAAAGTAATTGTTCGAGTAGAATAGTTAAAAATATGCGATGGCCCATGAAATACGTGACAGCCCCGCGCTCTTGCTCTGCCAAGCACAAGTTTGCCACTTCGTACCATCCGCAACGAACGATGTTACGGAGCGCCTCAACCTCACCATAACCGCCATGCTTTCTAAATACGTATATAGCGGCCGACCACCAGGACTGGGACGTTCATTTGCCATTTGTGACGTTTGCATATATTTGTTCACGTCGCCACACTTCCGGCTATTCGCCATTCCATCTTCTATATGGCCGCGAACCCGCCCTACCCTTTGACACCTTGCTGCCCTCGTTCACGAAGTATGCCGGCGAAGCCATCGCGCGAGCCGACCACGCACGTCAACTCGCCCGCAGCCGTCTGCAGGCCTCACAGGAGCACCAAAGACGGCCCAAAGATTCCCATCATCAAAACGTGCACTTTTCACCGGGTTCCCTTGTCCTCCTGAAGTCTCCCACTCGGCGTGTAGGTCTTTCTGAAAAACTGCTGTCACGCTACACTGGTCCATACTGCGTCGTTCGCCAGGCCACTGACGTTACATACAAGGTCGTTCCAGCCGATCCAACGTCATCATCGTCAGTTTAGAGCGACATCGGGCACATAGCCAGACTGAAGCCTTATCACCCTCCTTCTACCGCATGCGAGTAGCTCAAGCACCGAGACGGTGCTTCTACCGCCGGGGGGTTATGATACGCAACAGCCGGCACAGCCTCGCTGCATGAAAGAAAAAGACGACGTCGGTTGCTGGTTAATGAACTGTCGCCATCTTGTTCCCCGAGCATGGTCCATCGTATATAATTCAATAAACAAGTTACTCGTAACATTATATTTCTACATTTGTCGTGCATCAGGACCACAAAAGCTTGTATTGCCAACAAAATGGAACGTCACCGTTTTTTTTTTTTGGTTTGCTGTGCATGGAGATGCCTCCGATCATGTGCGGATGCACTCACCTTTTCATCACCGCACCACATTCCTTCTGCCATATCAACGGTAATAAACCATGTTTCTAACGATGTTCTGTTCTGTTTATGATAGTAACACTGCAGTTTGCATTTGTTGTGTGGGTCCTGTAGTGAGAAAAAAATAGACGTGTAAAACCCTGTATCCGGCATGAAAAGTATAGGCAATAAAGAAATTAGAAGAGCTTCGCCCTAGTGGCGCGAAGCCCTCCATGCACTTCTTCCCTGTACTGGCATTTTGAAAGACAAAATTTTGTGGCTGCTGCCCGCTATCTCATGTAAATTTGAGACCCCCATTAAATGGGGTAATTTATATTACGTAAATGCTTCTTTTGTCAACTTTCGTGCTGCGTGGACATATTTCTGTGTTGAAAAACTTGAACTGAGCGTGTGAGTGTTGTACTATATGCCTTAGCATAGCTTTGTGTTTGTCTACTTCTGGTCTACAACTATTGCGCAAGAGAGGAAGACTGACCGGCGCCACACATAGGCATCTACATGGTGCCGTTTCCCGTTTCAAAGAATTGTTTTGCTCCGCAGTTCTTTTCTTATATGTTCATGCGAATAGCGCCTTACGTATTGTCACGGTGCAATGACATTGGAGAACTACACATATTAGCCAGAGAATGACGTATATAGCATACGAACAACTGCACGTGTTATTTACTGCAAACTTTATTTCTAGTGCAAAAAAAAAAAAAAAGAACTTTCAGACTTGTTCAATAAAAGATTCATTGCAAGTTACACAAACTTGTTAGAACTAGAGCATTAGGCATATTTTTTTTTCTGAACTACTTTTGTTTTACCTTACCTGTTTAAACAGAAAGTACCGTCTAGATATTCTTTGAAGCATCTTTTTGCAGTAATAGTGCCTTACTACCATATCACCAGGCATTTTCGTGTGGTCTACATGAAGTGTCTGGTTCCCAGTTTCCTTTAAGCATTCGTCTGACAGCCTCCTGCAAGCAGTAGAAAAATGAACACGCAAAAAAACGTTTCTATGTTCTACTCTCTATAGAAGCAGTAGAGAGATGGTAGTTTAATCTGTTAAAACAATGAAGGCTGGTCTGGTACATTTCCCAACCTGTAATATTTCATGCTTTTTCATTGGTTGTGAACCCGCAGTTCCTTTAATTTATATATTGTATTTATATATTATACATATTGTATACATATTGTATTTGTTTTTCTGTATGTTACCCGCTGGCATTTTTCGTACATTTTTGTCAATCTCCGTTACGTTGTGTATTCAGTGTACTTCCTACTATCTGGATAGGCTGTACTGTACTTGTCGCAAATTGAGCTTGTGTTCTGTCTTGTAATCATGTTGTAATCCCCTCATTGTAATGCCTTATGGCGCTGTGGGTATCAAATAAACAAATATGAAGATGAAAGTCGCTGGCCTTTGACACACCTTCATTATTTTGTGCATTGATCGAGCTTTTGCTTATAGTTGATAGAACGGAGGCCTTCGCTTGAGAGACAGAAAGACAGGTAGGCTATCTGGATTGTACCTGGTTTGCTACCTTACACAGAGTAGAGAAGAATAAAAAAAGAAAGATAAGTCATACGCGCACACACACATATCCTTCGCAGCGCACACATTGCTGCTGGTAAGCACCTATAACATTTCACTGTTGCGTCTGAGCCTGACGCATAAGTGAGGGTGTGAGTGAAAAGTTTATTTTAAAACAGAGGCACTTGGGTGGGCGGCTTCGTGTTTCGGCAAGCACAACCTCCTGGACCCAGGTGGCATCTCCTGCTCTGTTAAACCTGGCCGGCAGGTCAGACCGGCAGATCGACCCCAGAGCTTGTAATAGGCTCAACAGTACGTTATGTTGGGCTAGTTGGTACATATTAGGCTGAAATACGTGGCGCAAGGTTGACAAAGAGAAAAAAAGACGAGACAGAAAGAGCGCCAACTCACAACTAAGTTTATTTTCATGAAGCATTCATAATATATAGGCTCTTGGAGGACACGCGCAGACCATTTCATTCACCGCACGTGCAGACATGAACATTTTTATGATGTAATAACCGATAATTGCAATCATGATATCTGGGAACCAGCAACAAACAGATATGCCTAATGTAAAGACGTCGAAAAAACCAAACACACCCAAGCCTGCGCAAAAAAAAAAAGCGAGGAAAAACCAGCAAAAAAGGACTGACACACTTCGTAGCACCCAACTTAAGTACATCTAGATCCAACAGTTGGAATTCACTGTTATGCCACACAACTGAAGTCACGCTGACGCACGAGTCACCTTTCTTCATTATGTGAAAGGCTTCGAGTAACTCCCGCGCCAGCGCATCCCGGCTCCTTCCAGTACTCGCGTGTGATCGAACAGCGGCGTGCAGCCACACGAAGCACAGTGAAAGGGCAAATGAGATCCTGTTCCATTCCGTGCTCGCACGGACGTCTTTCGCAAATCTTTTTTTCCTGATGTTATAGAAGCGTGGAACAAATTGCCGCGACATATTGTTGAAAATTCTGACGTTAAAAAATTTGAATGTGCTCTTGATGTTTACTTTGCCGAGCAATGAATATGCTATTGTGTTACTGTTCAAAGTTGCTGAAAATATCAATGTCTGTATTTACTTTCCATATCCTATGCTTCCCTCCCTGTAATGACCCTCAAGTGAGGGTTGACAGTATAAATAAATAAAATAAATAAAAAATAATTCAGAGTAATAGGCTCACTTTTCAAGTCCCTCTTTATCAAACACCTTCAGGCCGATGTGCGAGGCATAGTACAGGTTATTTGGCTAAGAGCAAAAGCTTGCACGAACCATGTGAAATTGATTTGTTTTTTTTTCATGCCAGTGTGCCATTGTTCAATTCTCCAAGTGAGTCACGTAGTCTGCTGGGCGCCCACTTCTAGCATTTCAATGTCGCTGTTGCACGCGTGGGCTAGAGCTAAAAGCCCCAGTACCGAGACGATGTTCTCCACTGGTAAAGAATTTCTCCAGAGTCTGATTTGCGGTCAAGAGGTACTCTGAGCATGAACAGTTCTCATTTTTGCGGGGGACAGACGATGTCTTTCTATAGGCTGTGTACTGCCCTACCGGGATCCCGTCTTGTGGTAGCCCGGTTTATAAATGTCCATCTATTTTTCCAGCTTACACATAGTACAGGCTACTCACCTTAACGTGGTATTGGTGTGTAGTAAAGACTCTAGAGTGACGGTTATATTGTCGATGCTCGCAAATGTTTCGAAATATTAATTCACTAACAAGTCTTCTGATTGTTTTTGTGTTATTCGGACTCATGTTTAGTAAAGATACCTCCCTATGTACTGCAGGTTGCAGAAAAAAGGATACTCTTAATTGATGCCCTCTCGCTCCACGTTACACTTCACAAGAGAATTGGGGTGCCGAGATCCGGACAATTGACAGTTTTTTAATGAGGGTGCTAACATTTTGGCCTGTGAAATTACGGACGTCATAAAAAATATATGCAGAGTGATCTTGTCACCATAAAAGTACAATCAATGCGAAATAGGATTTTCGGTCCCTTGCTGATCTATTGGCGTTCTGTTGTGAGTGGTAGAGGTTTAGACAAAGATGATTTCTACCTCTACTGTTCGGGAGCATTATTTAGAACACAGATTTGGAATTTCTCTTATAAATATATTGTTGTGAAAAAAAAATAAGTTGGCAATATCCCTTCTGAGTCGGCTCACTTAGACTCAGATGGGGCCATGAGTTTGCATCATTGAGTCCTGCTGAGTATTATGTCGGTGAGTTTGAGTCCAAATGAGTCCAGTTGAAATTAAGTTTCGTAAATAAGAGCCTGAGTGGGTACCGTAAAAAATGTTTTTGAGTCTAGGATTGAGTGAGGCCAACCCGCAAAATATATTTGAGTGAGCTCCATCTTTTATTGCTGGCTTACATCTGAAAAACATTGTTCGCCTACAGCTAGAGAACATACATAAGGAGACTTAAGGAAACGCTTTATTGGTTTTACTTGATACATTGTAAATAGGTTGGAACTACCCAAGCACACAGGGCATATGCTTTACCCAAGACACACCGTGGTGTTAGATGCCATCGCATAACATTAGGTATTGTATAAGTCACATATAGTATAAACGTGGTCATGAGCAAACAGGAGTAATAATAATATTATCTGGGGTTTGACATCTCAAAATCACGATGGAATTATGAGGGACACTGAATTATGATGGAATTGTAGAATTATGATGGAATTATGAGGAACACTGTCCTCCGCGGCCGGGATTCGATCCTGCGACCTATTGGTCAGCAGTATAGGGAGCCACAACCACTAGAGCACCGGGGCGGGTCAGTGAACGGGAAATAGATCATTGTTACTTAAAGCCAAAATCACAGACAATAACGAAAATACGGATGTGGTGGATCAAAACTTGGAGATGCAGCACCGACGAAATAAGAAAACAAGAGAACCGCGTAACACAAAATATTACTGAAAATAAAGGAAAATAGGTTTCTAATTTGTGCATACCAAGAGAAATCAATCGTTAATAATCATGCAGATATTGGAGATAAACATCGGAAATGTGGCAACTGCCTTGCAAAACATTAAAGCAGTGGTGCAAACTTACTGTACGACGTCCGTTATGCTGATCTCGCTACACCTTGAAAGTCGGTACTTGTTGCTACCTTTGTCCTCGTAGCTCAGGAGAAAACCTTTCTTCCACGAACACTCCGAATCATCTTGAGGGTCGTGCGATGCTCCCAACCTACGCGTCGACCGTACAACTGTGGAGGCTTAGTCGCTCAAATAATTGGACTCTAAAACGCGCTTTCTCCGTACTTACGAATGGGCTAACTCGTGAGCCATGGTGTGGACACCTGCGTACGACTTCGGTATGTCTTCGCCCTCAGCGACTGCGTTCGGTGTGCACACTTTGCCGACGTAGGCAAGCCCTGAAAAAAAAGTGTATGTGCGTATTTACAAAACGATTCTAAGCGCAGATGGGGCCTTCGTTCCATTCGTCCCCCAGTACGAGGAGTCCCGTACCAACGCCATCATAAGATTTCTGGCACTTTTATACGCAACAAACCGTCTGTTGTAACATTTCGCAACAATACAGCAATATAAGCGTATGAGGCAATGCGCGCACTTTTAAACATTTTTGCTGCTTCTCGTGAAGACTTGTGCTTAAGGAATGAATGATACAACATTTTGCCACAATATCAATACCTAATTATCTCCTCATAAGCTGAAGCTCATCGGAGAAACGTAGGGTAGAAAATACAACTGGTACACTTGGTATACCGCAGGTTGAAGCAAGTGTTTTTATAAACACTCAACCTTTGCTGTGGGTGAACCCTCAACTCTATGTGTAGATCGCTTTACCTCGCGTAATGTTTTTTGGCAGTTTTGCACAAAACAAATAGTGGACAGAATACCATCTCAAAGGAATTCAGAGGGCGATGTGTCAGAAAAAAAATGACGAGTAAGCATAAATGAACGTGTCTAGAGCAACGTTTCAACAAGGGAAGTTCGTAAGGCTGTTATTCTGAGTGGTACAAAGCGCACCTGCGGGGAAGACTGTACCCATCCACTGAAAATGGTTGCTGGAGCTACGGCAAATGTATTTGGAGTGTCTTAGTAAAATAAAACTTTCTACTAGTTCGTTATGCATGGATGGATGGATGCTATGAGCGTCCCCTTTATAACGGGGTGGTGACAAGTATGCCACCAGGCTCGACAAAAAAAAAAAAAAACCTTTTTTCTTTTTTTATGTTGGCCTAATGCCTCTACTTCGATAAATTCTAAATTTTCAGCTTAGTTCTCTGCCATTTACGGCACACTGTCCACATTTTATTTTTCCAATATTTATTTTGTCCTTTCTCTCTAATTTTCTGCCACCATTTTTGTCCTTTCTCTCTAATTTTCTGCCACCATACTCTAGACCGTCCTTTACTTATTTCAAGCGCGGGTGTGTTCAGCTTTCCATTGTTGTCCCTAAACCCAAGGCTTCCTGTAGGCTCGTGCCCAACGTACACCTGGGTGGATATCTCCACAATGCAATCAGAACATGCTCCGCCGTTTCCCTACGTTCCCGCAGCATGTGCATTTGTTCTTTTCTTGTATCTGAATCTGCTTTATAACTACGCGTTCTAAGCAAGCCCGATCTCGCTTCACAAACAGTAAAGCGCTTCCCCTTGAATTATCGTAAAATGCCTCCCTCCTTATTTCATTTTTGCCCTTTCGGTAGTTACTCAAAGCCGGTTTTTTTCTCCATAGCTGCCATCCAGTAAATCCTCTCCCGCCTCCCTGACTTTTCCCTTAACGCTCTTTGTTGACATATGGCTCACAATACCAGCCGTATATTTACTAGTGAGTCTTCTAGTTCTTTTTCTCCACTGTGTGTCCACGCTCTTCCTATACAAATAACGGAACACCTTCTCTGCCCATCTACTCTCCTTCATATTTCTTAGCCTTTCTTCGAACCTTATTTTGCTCTGCGCTTCCCTCGCCTCAAAACCTGCCCACCCCATATCGCCCTTTACAGCCTCGTTTGTCGTCTTCCCGTGAGCACCCAACGCGAGGCGTCCCACAGTCCTTTGATTTACATCCATTCCCGATTGCACCTCTGCCCTCATGCACACCACTGAGTTCCCAAAAGTAAGCCCTGGAACCATTACACCCTTCCACAGACCTCGAAGCACCTCATACCTATTGTATCCCCACAACGCTCTGTGCTTCATTATTACCGCATTCCTCTTTCCTTTTGCTGCCGAGGCTTTTTCCTGTACCTCCATGTATCTATCACTCTCATTTACCCATACTCCAAGGTACTTGTATTCACTTACCCTCGGTATTTCTTGGCCTTGTATGGACACCGTCTGATCACAGGGATCATTGAATACCATCAATCCACACTTCGTTACACTGAATCCCAGTCCAAGAGCTTCACCTTCCCTTCCGCATATATTCGCCAGCTGCTGTATATCATCTCGACTGTCCACAAATAAGACGATATCGTCCGCATAAAATAAACCTGGAAGCTTCTGCTCAATCATCATGCCGCCCTGTTTGTGTGACAGATTAAAACCAATGTTGCTACCTTCTAGCGCTTTTTCCATACTCACCATGTACAGCATGAATAACAGCGGGGACAAAGGACATCCCTGTCTCAGACCCCTGCTAACCTCAACGTTCTATTTGCTACGCATTCCTTCCCACTCTATGCAAACTGTATTTTCTCGGTATATCTCCCTCAAAAGCTGTATACAGTCGTCGCCCATGCCCATTCCTTTCAATATATCCCACAAAATTTCCTGATTAACGTTGTCGTATGCCCCAGTGATGTCTAGAAAAGCCACGTACAAGGGCCTATTCTCTATTTTGGATATTTCTATACACTGAGTGAGAACAAACAGGTTATCGTCTAACCGCCTGTCGACTCGAAATCCGTTCTGAAGTTCTCCCAAAATATCGTTATGTTCGGCCCATGTTTCTATTTTCATTTTTACTGCTTGCATCGCCATCCTGTATAGTACCGATGTAATGGTTAGTGGTCTATACGAGCGAATCTTGTCCTTTTCTCCCTTGCCTTTATAGATTAAGTTCATTCTACTTTGTCGCCAACTGTCCGGTATTTGTCCGTCCTTTAAGCTTTTTTCTACTGCTTTTAACAATGCTTCTTTAGTGTTATGTCCTAGTTCGTTAATGAGGCTAACGGGAATCCCATCTAAACCCGCGGCAGTGCGCTTTGGAATTTTTCCTTCGACCTTTTTCCAGTTGAAATTATCAAGTACTAGCTCTTCCTCTGTTGCTTTCTCCGCCACACTTTTACTCACCGGGGAGATCCCCTGGACGCTCTTTTGAAACGAATCGGCTGTTACCTTTTGGATGTAACCTAGCGCTTCGTACCCTTCCAATTGATTTCCTCCTTCATCTAGAATATGTTGTTGCGTTGTGACAGACTTCCTACCTAGCGCCTTTATGTGGCTCTAAAAAATCCTAGGCGCGGCCTCCTTTTTTTCGTGTATCTCTGTCATCCAGCGTTCACTTTCACCTTTAATTTTTGCCTCTACCAATTTCTGTACATGGGATTTTTTCTCTAAATATATTTCCCATATTTTTTTGACTTCGTCCTGCGGCCGCTTCTCCTTTTTTGCCTTTCTATGCTCCCGTGATGCTTCGCGTCGCTTCTCGATCGCCTCCCGGATTTCCTTGTTCCACCAACTTTTTGGCTTCCTTTTTCCTTTCCAGCAAACAGTTTTCTTCTCTTTCCCTATCTCCTTCGTCATTAGATGTAACAGCTCACTATACTCCCAGTCCTTGCCTGGTATTTCGCCTACTTCTTCCTCGACTCTTGCGGCTATATTTATTATTTGTTTGTCATTTAAATACGAGCTGCCAGACTTTGATTCCATGCTCATATTTTCAGTTTCGTATCCCATTTGTAATGTTATTCGTTTATGATCACTACCCAAGCTGTTAATGCCTTCCTCGTCTATCCTCATTTCTGTCAGTTTGTGGTAAATTCCTTCAGTCATGAGACAATAATCAATACTTGATTGCTTGTTTCCGACTTCCCATGTGATCTGGCCGTCACATTTAGGCCCCGTGTTAACTATCTCCAGACTATGTTGCTCGGAAAGATCTAGTAATAACTTCCCATTGGTGTCTGAATATCCGTCAAGGTCATGTATGTGGGCATTCATGTCCCCTAGAAGGATGATTTCGGCCCCATTACCAAATTCCTTAATATCCGCACTCATGCAATCCACTATCTCCTGATTCTTTTCTCTGCAGTTATTCCCCGTCCACAAGTAGGCTACCCCTAGCCACGTTTCCTTTCCACCTACTGTGCCCAGAACCCAGAGGTGCTCTGAACACGTCTGTTTCACTCTAACCCATTTGGCTCCGCGGTGAATTAGCATTCCTACACCCCCACCTTTCCTTTCCGATATGGTCCTGTTACACCCTTCCCAAACATAATTTTTAATATGTGGTGGCTCTTCCAAGTCTCTAAGGTGTGTTTCTGTAACCGCATACACGCCTATCTGTTCTTTGTTTAACTGCTCCTCAATCTCTAACCATTTTGCCTTCTTTCTGCCACCCTGCATGTTTATGTAACTAATTGCAACACGCGCCTTTTTCCTTTTTCTTTTACCTTTTTTCTGGTTTTTCGCAATTCTACCTGTCAAAGCGTCCTCCTGGTTGTTTTCCCTGTTACGAGCTACCCCGGACTCCGAAGGGCCCGTGAGCCCCCCAAAAAAGCTACTGCGCGTCCTGCCAGTCGCCAGCCCACCTCGTGTCCAAGCCTCTTATCGAAATGAATCTTGTCTCTTTGGAATCCACCCCACCTGTGCACTTCCCTGTTTAAATCCACTACCTCGAAACCCTTCTCTCGACTAATTCGCCATATCTCTTTGTTTGCGTCGACTACCGCTCTTTGCAGGTTGACGTTGCGTACTGGTACTTCCGGTACTGTGCATACTACAATTTGCACCTGGGGGGACACGGTGCGCATGTCATCCACCCCTTTCGCCAAGGTCGTCGCTAGTCCTGACGATTCTTTTTTCAGGGCGTCATTTAACCCTCCCGCAATTACAACGAGGTTACGATTGTTAGCTTTAGCTGCGAGTTGTTCACCCGCTTGACTCATTACTGTCCCCAGCGTTTGTCCTGGGAACGTCCCTATCGCAACTCTCTTGTCGCCTTTCACCCTTTCTTTGATTGCCGCTGCGCATCGGACTAAATTTGAGTCACCGGCGATGATGACCTGTTCAGACATTCCTTCTGAAACCTGCACCTGGCTGCTGACTAGGTGACTAGCGTGAGTCACGGCTGCTGGTTTGCTCCCTCCCTCCCTCAAAACTACTTCCCGGTAGCTGGGCCCTGTGGCCAATGTATCTGCCTTTGTCATGCCTGTTTCCCTCATCTCTCCCGCACGGGGGGTCGTCGCCATAATGCTTCCGCAGTCACCTGCGTCTTCGTTCCCTTTCGCGACCTTCGATAGGCCCTTCTCGGCTGCCCGGAGCCTTTCCTCCATGGCTGACGTTTTCTCTCGCTCCTTCGCCAATGCATTCTCCAGCTCTGCGATTTTCTCCATGAGCCCACTCAGGACCACCATCATATTTTTCATTTTCTCCTCGAACTCGCACTGTCTACACTTGGCGTCATCTTCTGCTTTCTCTTCCGCACTAATTTCCACCTTCCACCCTACCCCGCACTCCGAACACTTTACGGTCTTTTTGACCATGGCTAGCTTAGTTTACCGATGCCCACGTGTTAGAAAACTGTACTAAAATACACTGGTCTAAGCCAAAAAGAACCACAATAATAAATAAATACGCTACACTTCACAGCACCTGCGCATGCACGTGGTCGGTCTACGCGCAGGCCTCAGCCACGTGGTGGCTGGAGAAAAAAAGACACAGTACAAAATACTAAAAAAAAACGTACACCGTACTAGACCTAATCAAGCTTTACGCTAGCGCCTTACGTTCTCATAACGCTACATACAGAGGCAAGCTGGAAACATGCAAAAACACTTATCTGTAGCTGTCATGCCTGAGCTCTCCAAAAACACGTCCGACCTCTACCACCACTTCCGTCTCGCCCGAAATGCATATTCCTTGTGTAGCGCCATCTGGTGCTTTTATTAAGAAAAAGTAACTGCCGAGAGACAACACAAGAAATACAGAAGTGATCTGACCTGAGGTGTGACGAAGTGCTACGATGCTTCTAAAACGACGAAGCAGCGTCGGAAACACAAAGGGGGTGCAATGGAATATATAGACAGGGTTAGACCATAACAAAAACGCATCCACACCTGCCGTTCATGAACAGGTTTTACCGTACACTCATAGGAAGTGCATGGTATATCAGACTGAATAAATATATACCCATCAGTATTCGTGGTGCATAATAATAAGTGAACTTGATTTATCATTCATACATGTACACAAAGGCTGTAGGGACTCTCTCTGGGAATTTTGAGATGGGATAGGAAGATATGACATGTCAAGTGTTTCCCCTTTCGAAATACCGCCATTACAATTTTAATCAAACCATGCAAATTTAAAGCAAGACGCGCTGCTTTATGCTTCCTTTGAAAACACATTTTCATTTTGCGCTGTGAATTTTGCGGGTGTTTTGCTTACCTGCTACGCCTCTCTCAAGTTTCATTCCGTTGCGGAGACTCGCCAGGTTTGCACTGCTCATTGTTGTTCATTGTTATTTCGAAGAATCGGGGATGGTGCCAAATAACGCAATGAAAAACATAAAAAAGGGATAGTGACATGATTAGTTTGTGCAGGCGACTTATTCTTAACACGTAAGCTTGTATTGTTTTTATTAAGAACACCTTGTGCTCACCCAGTGATGAGGTAAACGAGGTCCGAATGTTTGAGGATGCCATTAGCACTGGTGTAGTCCACCAGTCGCTCTAACATTTCTTGCGCCACCACAGTGTCTAGGAAAGGGCTAGTGAACGTGTCGTTCTGAAACAAAACAAAAAAATATCGCAAAACTTTTTTGATGTTTTGTGTTCGTGTGCGAATAATATGAGCGTTTAGACATGGCTAGTTGTGAGTTGAGGGAAGCGGAGAACACGTAGTGAACGTGCACATACTCGCGACTCATATTAGGTTATTCCAGTATCAATAATGCACATGTAGGGCTCCTTACTTTTTACCTGCTCGGAAGGTATTCGTCTTGTACTAAATGCAAACATCAATGCAGTCCGTACAATTGAATAAAAAATTTCAATAGCAATATGAAAACTAGTCGCTGCTAACTGTGTTAAATTCTAATTTTTATTACTGTAGTTAGTTAGTCTTAGAGGGTGTGTGTGCTTTTCGCGACGTTTATAACAGGTCTGACATGTCTTCTTAAAGGCTGGAACTGTAAGTTTGTCTTGAGAAAAGTACGCTTGTAGAAACATCTGCTACGGCACCAATCTCCTGTTTACTGTTGTGTTCATCACAGCCTTTCAACTTCCTCGTCCTGCCGTTTTTTTTTAAATGTGCAATGAAAATGTAAAGAAGCGAGAAGGGCAGAATGTCTCTAGGCGTAAATGACAACAATGAAAGTTGCATTCTATTTTAAGCTCTTCCGTGCAAGTGATATTTGTCAACATGATTCGGTAAGACCTGAATAACACTAAAAATGACGTGTAGGTGATGTGCATCTGTGATGGTGCCACATGGTCGTGACATATGGCCGCACGGAATCTATCCTAATAAGAAAGCATCTGCCGGTGTTTCTGGCAGATTAAATAAAGCATTTTCAAACGTCACCATTAAAAAGAATTCGCACATTTTTGTCCGAACTTTTGCCGATATCGCGGTACGAAGGGGCGGGGGAGCGACGACGTGCATTAACAATGGTTTGTATTAAATCGAGATGGCTCTAAAAATTCTTCCACCATGGGGTGGTACGCGGTGAAGGTTCTTGTTTGTAAATACTACAACCCCCTGTTACCCTTTCCATATGTGTTTGTTCTGCTTCTTATTCATAACAACTAGAATGCCACATGCTTTCGTGTTTCTGTCATTATATTTCATCGAGTGAACTGCAGAATATAACAAGTGTTGTTCAGAGTCCAATTAAAATCAGTGATTTTCAATAAAAATCGAATGTTCTCTCTTTTTATTGAATAGCTAAGTTTTTTTTTTAAGTATTGTTGCCTCAAACGTCAAAAAAAAAGTGATCTTCATATTATCTTGATATACTCACCCTACTTCTCGTTATTCCGACAAGCTTGAATGAAATGGCAGGACCTGTCATATCAACAAATATTCTGTTTACCTGGAATGCAGGTAAGGTTTGTCACTTTTCCAAGGAAGCAACAACGAACGCCACGCCAAGTTTTTCTGCAGTAATTACCGAAGAAATGAATATTTCATAAATAAAAGTACATCTTAATCTAGTAACTTTTACACTTACAGATAAAATAAAAGAAAGACAGAAAAATTAACGAGCGATACAAAACTTGACATGTATGCTGTCACTATTTCTTTAGTACGTCATTATTTAGAATAAAATTTGCTTACCGCATTCAGCATGATTGAAAGGTACTCAATCAGGTCTATATCTCTTCTAAAATACTTTTGGTGCCTCTCGTCGGAGATGATGTGAACCTCCACTACAAATTCTCGTACGAACCTCGGAGCTGTAGTTGTCAGAGTAGGAAAGGCTGATTAAAAATACATTTATTAGCGTTTAATGCTCATGTTACTTTTAGTGCTATATTACAGGACAACCGACTTTTCTTGCGGCTTCGTTTTTGCACTTGCCTAATTTAAGAGTTTCTGTATAGTACAACATGCTTACTCTACGTCTCGCTTTGAAGCTTCCCCGAGTGAAAAAAACGCCCAACTTGCGACATAAAATTTTGTTCGCATTCCGGACGTTTTTAGGCATAGTCATTCTGAGCTAATAATTTTAGAATTACTTCACTTCACTTTTAAGGACTAAATATTCTTTATGGAGCACGCTGCAGTGGAGGACTGTGGGTTAAATTTAGACCACTTGGGGATCCTTAACAAACGCCTAAATTAAGTACACGAGTGTTTAGCAGTCAGCCTTCACGAAAATACGGCGGACGCAGCCGGTATCAAACCCTCACTTTTTCAGTCGAAGCGGGGTGGCATAATGGACACCTACACAACAGTTGTGGTTTTTCTAAGCTAGGATAAGCACTTCATACATACGATGTGGTTTCATACATACTTCATACATACTTCATACATACTTCCTACATACTTCATACATACTTCATACATACTTCATACATACTTCATACATACTTCATACATACGCTGTTTAGCTATGACGTAGCATAGCATTCAGAATATTTTAAATGCTCGTATGCGTTGATTGTCGGTATGAACTCGTAGCACCATGCAACTGCGTGGCTGAGAATTGATCTAGACTGCCGAGAAAAGTTCAGCATCAGCATTGACGGAAATGAACGGCTATTTGGGCCAGTCAGTTATTTGGGCTAGCTCGTCAGCGCTGCGCTCGTGTTGTCCCTATTCGCCTTAAGTTCTTCGCCTTCCGTACGCGTTTCTTCCAACACCTTCGCGCTTGCGCTGCGACTCCTATTAACATGAAGTTAACGATAAAGTTAGTGTTTTGTTAAAGCCTCACCAAATTTGCAACCCGGGATTACTTGCAATACTAGAAAATGACATGGATGATAAATGGATTCTTTTAGGAGTCGGGAAGGCGCTTTCTATTTTAGTGCACTTACAGCGGCCAGTAGTTGAAATGCCAACAAGAAACTGGACAGAGCGCAGGCTACGAATGACTACGCGCAAGTCTTGCGTGAAGTACGCGTTAAAGAAAAAGCAGTACCACGTAAAAGTCCACGAATCTGAAATAAGCCACTCTTACGGACTCCGGGGAAGCTGGCTTTCCAAGAAGCGGTAGTATATCCCTTACAAAAATGGTTCTTGAATTTCTGATTACATCTTGATATGTTTTTGATGACACATCAGAATGTAATCATAAACTCGAGTGCTAGTGACTTTTATCATCAAGATGGCAGCAGGCACTTAACAGAGAATACACTTCACAAGTTATGCAGAAAAAACTACGCAGATTTTCAGCATGTAAACCTGATGTATAAACACTAAAGACATTTAACATTAGGTTCACAGCAGCCACTTAGCAGAGAATACTCAGTATATGATCCTAATTTTTGTGCGAAATATTTCCTAGTAGAAGTTAGCTATATCGCTTAAGAGATGTACACGAAGGTTGAAGCCTATAGACTTTTCATAGTCAAATATGGACCAAGGGGTTCAAACCCCGAACCTCTGGATCCCGAACCTCTGGAGTACATATCACTTCGAGGAGATATATAATTTCGACCAACTTGTTTTGAGTAATATTTAGCTGTCTGATTTGAACTATGTGGTTTATCATGCCTATTCAATTGATCCAACACGGGGTCCGGACAGGAAGGTGTGGTCGAGTGTCATTTTGTGCTCTGTACCACATTGAGAAAAAAAGTTCGGGGGTGGGGGGGGGGGGGGGGGCACGGGTTCGCTGCGCCACCCCTTGGATGCGCCTCTGATTCAGACATTGATGGGGCGGCAAATTTTGCTGCATATTTTTACACAGCGTCGCGTTTTGACATAAATGGCCTCAGTGCCAGAGGGAGGAGGTTGAGTGGGGGGGAGGCACTGTATAGCAATACTTATATCGTACACCCCCCACCCCCCTCGAAGGACAACTCTGTGCACACCTCTGGAACGCATTTCACCTCGTTCCGAGTGCTAACTACTTTTTCCTGTGTCATAATCATGACTGGGGGCACAGCCAGGGGGTATGGGGGAGTCTTCAAACCACCCCTAAAATGTTCAATTTTGCATGAGAATATATGCACGCACACATACAAACCCATTCTACTTCTGAGCCACGTCGGTGCTAATTTTGCATGAGAATATTGCATGAGAATTTTGCATGAGAATATCATTGTCCATGTTTTTAGTAAGATGAACTGGCGCTCTTTGGCCGTGAAATGGCCCTTGCGCCATAAACATCAAACATCATCATCACATACAAACCCATGCACAAACATACACAAATTATCGTTGAGCCCCGGCCGCCCTAAAAAATTTCTGGCTACGCTACTAATCACGACTGTGATTTTGCCATACCTTTTCAGCATCTCTTTGTCTTAGTATCAATGTCCAAACCCATTGATCCACTTTTGAAGTTGCAACCATTTTTGCTGAGTCACGGTCATCTAGTGAACATGGCTATAACTCTTATCCCATTATTTGACCTGTACCTTTCTATACAACCATCACAACCAGCTTCACAGTTGTTTAAACTTACCAGGCATCATTTTCATGCTCTGCTGACTCAACTCATGCTTTAATCATTCTAGGTTCATCATCATGGCTCTCATCATCGCTATTGCAACCCAGCTTGTGTGAACTACTGACACTAATATGCAATTCTGATCACTTTTTTTATTTTTTGACTGTCCACCCACTTGCACTGTCAAGCTATGAGCGCGACTATAATGTTAACCTAGCTTCAGTCATGTCCTTCTTCAACTTGGACATTCTTTGGTATATCACATACCATGATTATTCATTTTATTCACGAGATATCAATTCTTTTTCAATCTTTTCATCATTTCGGCTCCTCTTTTGGAAGGTCACTTGGTAACGATACATATTAAAGCTTCCTAAAGCATTCACTGATGTGTACAAACACAGTGCAGATGTAATCTCACACTAGCATATAGGAATATAAATTACAAGAATTTTTCATAATTATCTTGTGAGGGTGGCCGAGAGAGGGCGTTACGTGACGGCGTCATCATCATCGGGACTTGGCCGAAAGAGGGCACTACGTGACGGCGTCATCATCATCATTGGGACTGGAGTGGGGGGGGGGGTTGCGTGTGTGGGGAAGAGAGAGTTCGGGCTGGTTGGAAGGAGTGGCTAGACGTAGCGGTGTGGGGTGTGCGATTTAGGGTTAGTGCGTGACAAGTGGGGGCTCGTCCGGGATGGCTTCAGGCCCGACAACAGCAGCGGACGACATGCCTAGGCTCCAAGGTCTCGTTGAAGAGCTGTTGCTGGGCACCGACGGCTCCGCCATGGAGCGCGAACGATTCGCGGCAGTCGTGCGCGATCGAGTGATGGCGACGCCGCTGCCCACGGCTCCGCACGTGGGAGCATGGACTGGGGCCGCTAACACTGGCGCGGTCCCTCGGGCCACCGACGACTCTGCGCCTCGGCTCGCCGCTGCGCACCTCCCCCGCTACTCCGGTGCTAGAGACTTGCAGTCGCCGGAGGAGTTTCTTGAACGTTTGGAGAACTTCTGCCTCGTGACGGGGGTCGCCGCCGAAAAGCGACTGACACACGTGGTACCGGCTGCCCTCGAGGGTGGCGCTAAGTTGTGGTGGCGGTTCGTGCGCGGATTCGACTCGTGGGAGCAATTCACCGCCGCCTTCCGCTCCCAGTTCTCGTCGATTGACGCGAAGCGTCGCCTGAAGGCGGAGCTCGAACAGCGCACGCAGCACCCGGAAGAAAATTTGAAAGAGTTTATATATTGCATCACTACTTTTTACGACCGCATCGGGGAAGAGGTCTCCGAAGCCGAGAAGGTGCAGCGCGTACTGAGGCAGATGCACCCTCAGTTGCAAGATTTGGCGGAGGGGCATGCCTACAACGACCTCGCCGAGTTGGTAAAGGCAGCCGACGACCTAATGGAGCGGGCTTGGCGTCGCCTCCAGTACAGACCACCGCCACTTCCGAGCAACCAAGTAGCCAGAGATCTGGCGTTCCGCCCTAGCCAGGCCCCCGACCATCGCTCACTGCCGCAGCCGAACACTATGGCGACGGCGTCGTTCGCTTCGTTTGCTGCTGCCCCACCGGCACCGCCGACTTATCACTGGCCACTGCATCCAGCTGCGCTAGACCCGTCGTACTGCCGGGACCGACAGTACTCGTGCGACACAGCGCCTCCGTTCTCACCCTACGGGCCAGGACCGATGCCGCGGCAGGAGCCCGCGACTGGAGCAATGCGTGTGCAGTGCCATCGCTGTGGTGGATTCGGCCACATACCTCGTAACTGTGCCACGGGTCGACGAATGGGGCCACCCGTTTGCTTCCGGTGCCAGCGATCGGGTCACCTGCAAGCACAGTGCCCGGGAAACCAGTGGCGGTAGGTGCTGCCCCGGCGGGCACCTACGGCAGTGCGCACCAAGTAGCGACCACAGCCGGTGGCAAAGAGCCCCTTATGGACGTCCGTATCGGGTCGTCGACGTTCAAGGCCCTGCTAGATACAGGCTCAAGTGCAAGCTTCTTCGGACCGCACGCCGCGGCGGCGGCCCAAGCTTCTGGAGCCAAACCCAAGGCAGACGTACGCGTGCTGCGTTTGGCATCAGGCTGGTCGCAGTCAACCATGTCTCTGAAGTGCCAGATCGAGTGGGCTGCCGGTTGCCGCAGACAGCAGTTTTTGTGCGTTCCTGACCTGTGCCGTGACGTTGTCCTTGGTAGGGATTTCCTGACGGTGAGTGGCATCTCTCTGCACGTGTCACTTGGTGGGTGGACTGTCGGCACAGAACCACAAAGAATTGGGCCGTTTGTCAAGGCCGTTAAGGAACAGCCAGAGGCAGTGGATGATTTTGGAGACAGTCTGCGC